AAAACCTAATCTACATTGTTGGCTAATGATAGTTTTAGGGGCGGTGTCTTGTAAAACTTAGGTAACCCACTTTCTATAGAATTGAATGCTATGCACTGATAGATTAAATAGTTTCAACATTCTGGCTTAGTAGAGGTTAATTAAACCAATAAATCTATTAAACTTACTAATTATTACATCCCGAGTGACACCAAATTTTTGACCGAATGTTTACATGATATTTATCAAAATATTTTTCAACATTACGTCGTAAAATGTGTGAATATAAATGTTAAAAAAACTAGACTTAGACTTATAGGGCTTATAAAACTGGCAAATATATCTTTTCAGGAAGAGGAAAATGATTAACTTTAGGATGGGTTTAGGGTAACTTGTATTAAAATCTTTATTGATTTCAGCGTATGTATGTGTGTCTAAATCAATAAATATCATTTTATTCAGAAAGAACCCGTTATGTGGCTAAAACAGTTGTCTACATTCTTTCAGATTCTTAAATTGGTGTTCAAGCTTAGATTAAAAAAAATAAAAACTGTTTGTCTTTTAGGGTACTTGACTTGAAATATGAAAAGCTTATCTAGTAACTAGTACATACATTAATCTGTAGACTCTACTGTAAGAAGTTAGTATGAATATATATGCACAGAGTTTTCTGTGAATTTTGATATGCATAGGAAGAAAGCAAAAGTAAAGAAGAACGGCAAAGGGAAAGAAAGAAAGAAAGAAAGAAAGAAAGAAAGAAAGAAAGAAAGAAAGAAAGAAAGAAAGAAAGATATTCAAGTGATAGAGAAAACATGAAGGTTAGCATACTAAAGACTTTGGGACAGAATGATTATTATAATGAAAAGAAAGGAAGAAAGGAAGGCTAGAAAGAAAGGAAGGCTAGAAAAAAAGAAAGAAAGAAAGAAAGAAAGAAAGAAAGAAAGATATTCAAGTGATAGAGAAAACATGAAGGTTAGCATACTAAAGACTTTTGGACAGAATGATTATTATAATGAAAAGAAAGGAAGAAAGGAAGAAAGAAAGGAAGGCTAGAAAAAGAAAGAAAGAAAGAAAGAAAGAAAGAAAAGATATTCAAGTGATAGAGAAAACATGAAGGTTAGCATACTAAAGACTTTTGACAGAATGATTATTATAATGAAAAGAAAGGAAGGCTAGAAAGAAAGGAAGGCTAGAAAGAAAGAAAGAAAGAAAGAAAAAGAAAGAAAGAAAGAAAGAAAGAAAAGATATTCAAGTGATAGAAAACATGAAGGTTAGCATACTAAAGACTTTTGGACAGAATGATTATTATAATGAAAAGAAAGGAAGAAAGTAAGGCTAGAAAGAAAGGAAGGCTAGAAAAAAAGAAAGAAAGAAAGAAAGAAAGAAAGAAAGAAAGAAAGAAAGATATTCAAGTGATAGAGAAAACATGAAGGTTAGCATACTAAAGACTTTTGGACAGAATGATTATTATAATGAAAAGAAAGGAAGAAAGGAAGGCTAGAAAGAAAGGAAGGCTAGAAAAAAAGAAAGAAAGAAAGAAATAAAAGAAAGAAGGAAAGAAAGAAAGAAAGAAAGAAAGAAAGAAAGAAAGATATTCAAGTGATAGAGAAAACATGAAGGTTAGCATACTAAAGACTTTTGGACAGAATGATTATTATAATGAAAAGAAAGGAAGAAAGGAAGGCTAGAAAGAAAGGAAGGCTAGAAAAAAAGAAAGAAAGAAAGAAAGAGAGAAATAAAGAAAGAAAGATATTAAAGTGATAGAGAAAACATGAAGGTTAGCATACTAAAGACTTTTGGACAGAATGATTATTATAATGAAAAGAAAGGAAGAAAGGAAGGCTAGAAAGAAAGGAAGGCTAGAAAAAAAGAAAGAAAGAAAGAAAGATATTCAAGTGATACAGAAGACTATAACATATGAAGGTTAGCATGAATTACCAAAGACTTTTGGACAGAATGATTAGTATAGAGAAAAGAAAGAAAGAAAGAAAGAAATTCAAGTGATATAGAAGACTATTACATATGAAGGTTAGTATGAATTACTAAAGAGTTTTGGACAGAATTATTATTATAATGAAAAGAAAGAAAGAAAGAAAGAAAGAAAAGAAAGAAAGAAAGAAAGAAAGGCACTCAAGTGATATAGAAGACTATAACATATGAAGGTTAGTATGAATTATTAAAGAGTTTTGGACAGACTGATTATTATAGAGAAAAGAAAGAAAGAAAGAAAGAAAGAAAGAAATAAAGAAATATATGCATTCAAATGATATATAACTATATATATATATATTCAAGTGATAATATAACATCTGAAGGTTAGCATGAATTACCAAACTTTTGAATAGAATGATTATTATAACAAAAAGAAATGAATTAAGAAAGAAAGAAAGAAAGAAAGAAAGAAAGAGAGAAAGAAATAAAGAAAGAAAGAAAAGATTACTAAGAAAGAAAGCATGAACTCTGAGCATGTAAGAAGAAATAAATGCTAATACAGTTTGGCATATAAGAACAGAAAAAAAATCTGATTAAAGAACTAACTAGAAAGAGAAAATTAAAGCTAAAGAGAGAGAGAGAGAGAGAGAGAGAGAGAGAATACTTATGTGATGTATTCCCCAAATGTGTCACTCCCGCACATTCCATTCGCCAGACGTTGCACAAATTGAAAGTAACTACGATGTCGACCTTGTCTAAGTAAATTCGGCCAAGTGGTAGACCCTCTTGTATGCCATATTGGTTGCTTCTCTCACTCCACCATTGGTTGTTTTTTTTCCTTCTACATTCATTTAAAAAATAATTCTATTATTTTCTATTGGTTCTTTTTTCTTACTTGTCATTGGCACCTTCTTTTTCCTTCCTCTTCTTCTTCTTCTTTTTCCTCTTCTTCTTCTTCTTCTTCTTTTTGCTCATTTCAAGGCGATTTTTTTTGTTGTTGTTGTTATTGTTGTTTAATTTTAGAAAAATTCTTCTTCTTCTTTTTCAATGTAACAAGACATTTACAACCTAGGTCAGTGCTCCAATTTTCCAACAGACTCGTTTGTCCAATTTATCCAGAATTCGATAAGGAAAGGCTAAATAAGAACAGGCATAGATGACCTGATTGCAAATATTAGATATCTACATATATAGGCATACATAGATAAATATAGTGTATATACGTGCTTTTGCGTATACACAATGACTGTATTTGAATAATAGATTTTGATCATATATATATATATATATATATATATATATATGTGTGTGTGTGTGTGTGTGTGTGTGTATATATATATATATATATATATATATATATATATATATATATATATATGAACTTTATGTTTGAATTCATATATGATAGTTTTTTGTTGTTCTATATAAATATATATGCCTGATTTCAATTGTGGTTAGTCTTGCATTTTGTGCATATCCGAATACTCTCTCTCACATACATACACACGCAGAGAAACGACATGCGAGTGTATCAACAAGTCCGTAGCCTGTCACAGTTATAAACTGAATTTTAATATCGATATTAAAATTAAATTTATAATACTCGATCCATACAATTAAGAAGCTTTGAATTAACAGAATTGACACATAAGACACCAATTATATGATATATATTTATCACCGAATTAAATGTATTGACAAAGAAAGAGATTATGTTGAAAATAAATATTTGTACAAGATGAATGCTTTTTCAACACTAGACTATAGACTTATTAATGTAACTAAAGCATTCATCGTTGAATTAAGTGCATTGACAAGGAATGAGAATATGCTAGAAAACTATATGTTAGTTATGTAAAGTAAGTATTTTTCATAATTACACTACAAACTTATTGGTTTAATTACATGTTCATCACTGAATTAAGTGCATTGGCAAGGAAGGGGATTATGTTGAAAAATGAATATTTCTTGTGTAAAAAAAATTTCATCATTATTTTACAAACTTATTGGTGTACAAGAAAATATATATTTGCAGTGTAAAATAAAGGCATTTTTCATCCTTAAATTGCGGACTTATGTACCAATATATATATATATATGAATTTATTAAATGAATTAATGTTCATTTATATGTAATATACATGCATTATTTCACTGCATCAATGGAATAATGACAATTTGGTTAAAGCATCATGAATTTATAAACCTTCCAACAAGTTCACTCCCCTTAGTAATGTTTTTTTCCGTATATTCTCTTACGTTCAGTAACCCCCTTTGCGTCTTAGTAGTTTTATTGCCTTGCTTGGCGAGAAATGATTTTTAAAATAGTGAGTTAAATAAATCTGAAAATAAATAGTTCTTGTTAACTAACACTTTTCAACAAGAGACAAAATGCATACAAATGAAAAAAAAAACTATATAAATGTTATTTCAAGCTATTGTTCACTCATTACAAGGCCCATGAGCCACTCAAGGTAGAATGTTACTGAATGGGATTGTTTTATAAATGTAAGGATTGCAGATTATGAGGATATGTAAGATAGCTAACGGTCATTTTACCCCAAGCAAGATGATAAAGCCGCTATGACTCAATGAAATTACTGAATGTGAAATAATACGAGAAAAAGTAAAACATTATTAAGGAGAGAGAACAATAAAAGAACAGGAATCAAGAAGACGGAAGATAGCGATTGAGCTTTACTTGAAAACATGAAGCTTGGAGAAAGTTCCACAAGTGTGAGAAAAAACTATTATCATAGAATTGCATCTAGTCATTTCAATAGTAAAATGATTAAACCTTGCCACCGGTCTGTTTGTGAAGAGGCTAAGAATATAGTGATCGGGGAAACATCCTCTCAGGAGTCTGTTTCACAAAGCTGCGGCTCTTTGGAAGAAGTTGTCCGAATGGAACTTTCTCCTTATTAATGGAATAAGTATGGAAGGAGGAGTGATCTCCCCTGTATACATGGCTTGTCAGATCTTGGCTGTAAATATCTGAACTGGTGGAACGGGGAAATGTCGTTCGTCAAACGTAATACAAAATCAAAATAACAGAGATAACTACCGCCCCCGTTAATATAATGTCATTACAATAAAAATACAAAATTATTAATTAGATATTTTGTATTTATTTATTTTGTTCTTTTGGTCATCCGAGTAGCTCTTAATGTTTATAGACACAATCAGTACGATCCGTGATCCAGTTTCAAATTCAAAACTAATCTGTTTTATTCCCATTCACACTAAATTTAATGGTAATGATAAAATTAATGGTAATGATAAAATTAATGGCAATGATAAAATTAATGATAATGATAAAATTAATGGCAATGATAAAACTGAACGTTTCCATGAAACAAAGATTGGGCATTTATTGAAAAAACAGTTACTGTACGTTGAAATTTATTTAAAAAAAGTTTTCTAGGAAATTTGATTTCTCTAATCTACTAAATTTTAAAGCTCTTTCTTTAGGTTAAATGACAGAATAGATTGTTTGATGAGGCAATTATGAATTCAAAACAATCGAGATGACAACGGGAAACCATTTTCCCAAGAAAGTAAGGAAAGTTCAGAGATAATAAATAGAAGGCATCTGCCGTGATCGACCACGTCTTGAAAAGACATATCTTTAAAAAAAAAAAAAACATTTCTTATTTCTGTTGTTACATTTCATCGGTCTTTCCAAGGGGAATTTTGTCAGATACTGCTAGTTTTGTTCTGCGTTAGAATCAGCAACATTTGATACTTTCTATTGTCAACGTATTTTTACAAACTTATAAAGTATATATAACCTACTTTGTGTTGCTTTCTACAGAACCTGGGCAATGTTACATATATTGCATTTTAAGATATGTAAGATTGAAACAATAATGCTTAACTTTGTTTTAATACGATCTATAGATTTATTGATACCGTTTCTTTTTAAGAATATGCTTCTATCGCTAGTAAAGAAATAAACTATATCCTAGTATTTTAATAAAAAAAAGTATTAACAATGCACTTTTTATCTTGCATTTGTTTAATATTAGTTTCTGTTACGTTTATAGAGACATTTTTGTTTTTAATGTTATCGTCAATTAAAATAATTTCTATATAGATGTCTATCCAACCGGCTTAAGTTATTAAAACAGAAATTCTTAAATAACGGAAAAAAATAAGAAAAAGGAAACGAAAACTAACTCTAGTCAGAGTAGAGACTTATTGTAATCTGTCAATAGAAGATGCTACAACTTGATACGGTTTGGTCAAAGTAGCTACCAACATAGTTAGTTCCTTTTGTTCCCTGTTGGTCATTGGGTTCCTGTTAACACCGCAACTGCGGACGTGCTGTGAGGCATTCAATGGGGATTTTGATTCACAAGAGGTCCCAAGCCACATGTATGCACACATTTTTAGGATATTACGATACGGCTTAAATTCAGTTTCCTTCTAGACCGGCTGCCACCCAAGGCTATAGAACCTAGACTGTTCTGCTATTTTATCCATAGTTGGGGGATAAGAGATGGGTTTATAACTTTTCCAAGCGCGTATGTGAATGTAATTAACTCGACTGGAATTCGAACTCGGATCTCCGATTCCTTAATCCGATCCTCTTACTCCACCGTGGTATAAGGAGGCACTGTTGTCAACATAGACACCTAACATCTAGAAAGAAGCAATACCTTATGAAGACTCCAAATTATGTTATCATAGATTATTCCGTTGAAGAAACTTCCAAGAAAATATTCAAAGGCATACGAGTTAAAATGGAAACTAAGTAAACACTAGAAAAAGCGAAATTCCTATCAAATGATTCTCGTGAAAGAGGAAAGAATAATGTACAACAGGCGTGTCAAGAGTATATGTATTCTGACAACAGAGAAATGTAACACGAGAGGTATAATGAACTTGGACAAATGGTGAGCGTAATAGAAAACAGCACTTACTGTAAGTAAAACCTTCCTAGATCCGAGCGAAGAACAAAGTTATCAGTTACGGGTTGTCAGTATAATACCGTGACAATCTACTACAAATTTCAAAAGATTCATTAAGAAAATATCTTTCGACAGCTAGGTATCATCATTAATAAATAAATCAAGCAAATACAAAATTCAATTAAACTCAGTTTATTTAATAAAAGTAATAAACCAAAACACACGCAATTGTTTTCATACAAAGGATAACACTTGATGCACGTATATTTGCCAATGTCTAAAAAGATGAGATATATTGGTGCGAAGTAGACAAAAGGGATTCATCTCAGGGGAAATATACTAGTATCCCAACATAAAATTTAATGGATATCTGCAAATAATAGATAGAATTAATACACTTCCACTTAAGTATTAATACGAATTACCGTGTCTTCTTGGTAAAGATGGAATAGTTTCCCATTGGCTTTTTCCATAATTTAAAATTGAAAGTTTCCTTCACTTTCACTGGTTGCCTCTCGGATTAGTAGATCCAAGTTTATCTTAAGAAAGATTGGTAGCAATTTAAGTACCACGTTACAGAGCGTAAGCGACTATTTTATTTATTATCAGTGACTTGCCATGACTTCTAAGGAAATATACATGAATTTATATATAGCGAAAAGATGAACTTTTACAG